AAATGTATCCTCGTGTATTAGTACCTGTGTGTGTGCGTTGTTTGAGTTATATCGCATGGTTGGATTCTAAAGCCATCAAAAGAATCAATTTTGTGATTTACGACTACAATTAATAATTGTCCCAGTAAATGCCCAAACCCTACAAAACTGGTGCCTTCAGAGAGCACACTACACACTAAGAAGTAAGAAAAATTACCCTAAATAAAAAAATATATGGTATTGTTATCTCTCATAAATAGCTTAATATATATAAACTTTTATACTGTTCTGTTCCTGTGATGAACCTTTAAAGTCTTGTAGTATAGGCCTTGAAGGACTATAGTAGAATACACCTTCCCAGACCTGCTATATTGTTTTAACCTTGGAATTGTTTTGATACTGAATATATCACACTATTTTTGCAGCTCAGAAAAAAGAGAAAGATAAGCATGATGAACTCCTCTTTTACGCAAACTTTCTGATGTTTATTGAAATTTAAACTCTCCACCATACAGGTGGAGAGTTTATTAGTACAGAACCTTATCTGTGCCACAGAGAAAAATAAATAGTTTTGCATTTCAGGGAGGTTATATTGCTTGTAAACTAGAAAAATAATAATTTATTTGTGAACAATATTGCCTTATATTAATATCTTGTAATATACATGCAATAATACTGTCCCATACAATCTAGCATTGACCTTAACAATAGAAGAATATCATCACACTTCTCTTTGTGCCAGTTAATAAGTCTAAAGGACCACATGTACTGTCTTTTGTATGCATGAAGCAGAACACCCGGTCAGTGAGCATTCCTGGGTGAGCATTCCCAAATGTGTGTCATTTTCAACATTTATGTGAAAAGCAGAAATGGCACGGCTTTACAAAGGCATGTTATTCTTCATGTGAAACTTCAGAAACGTGTACTGTACATACTGTACTGTGGATTTTGCCTACTCCACAAACATTGACCAGAATACATTTAAAATGACAACAAAAGTTATACCTACAGTTGGCTTAGTGTTACTGTTATTGCTGGTCATGGCACTAATAAGCTTCTGTATGAAACAGCAGAGTAGAGCACTGTCAAACAATAAACGTAATGGAAATTCATAGAGTTTATGAATTTTTCTGCCTCCTTCTGATTATAGAGAAACACGATGACCCAGACGATGGCCATTCTGCTGCTCTTCCTTGTGGTAATGATTGCAGTGCCTGTGTTGGGACGCTGTCCACCCCCTGATTATGAGATACGCTATCAGAAGTTCTTAAGACAGCATTACCATAGAGGAGGCATGAGTGTCAAAGACTGCAACACTGCAATGAGTCAACGGTGCTTGAATAAGCCCTGCAAGGAGATGAACAGCTTCATCCTCGATGCCACAACAAACCAGATTCAAGATGTCTGTGACAAAGCGGGCACGCCCCTGGGTGAGGGCAACCTGCGCCAAAGCACACAACCTTTCCAAGTTGTCACCTGCAAGCACTCAGGGGGGTCCAGTCGCCCCCCTTGTCAATACAAGGGGTCCAAAAGCACCAGATACATTGTCATCGGCTGTGATGCAGATAAATTCCCTGTGCACTTTGAGGAGGGTATTATTCCAGAATAGGATTCCGGGTTAGCCTGTTGTCTGCTTTATTCTGATCAGTAAAGCCATTTAAAAATCCCTAACCTTCTCCTTCCATTGTATTTAGGTGATTTAATGTATGCAGCTCTGTGAAGGGGCAGTGTATAACCCGATGTTCCCCTCTAACATGCTTTTGTCAGAGAAACATAAATCCTTCTTGACACCATATAGTTTAAAATATTGTATATGCAGTCGGCTCCAATGTGTTTGTAGAGTAGTGGGTGGATCATTCCCTCTAAACAACTATCAGGTAGAAGAGACATCTTTGGAGTTACCAATCACTTTTTAAGAATTGAAAATCAATGTTATGATGAAGGAAGACTTTCTTATATTAATGCAAAAGCTCTCAAATTGTTAAAAAATAACTGGCTTGTGCTCTCTACTTAAAATAATGAACCTCAGTGGATCCCAGCAAGTGACACAGCAAGACCCAAAACAGCTGGGTTTGAATGTGTTGGGCACAAGGGATCATACTGGTTTCCATCTACATTGAGCTCAAAATTATTTCTAGTTGAGACTGTGGATAAGACAATAATTTTGGAGGGTGAGAGGAGTGATTGAAGTTACAATGAAAAATTGAGGTGCTAGGGCAGTGCTTTTTTAAAATATGATTGTTTGAATTATTCTTTAATGTACTACCTACTGTACTGTCTAGAAATACTAGCATATCATAGAATACATAACAATAAATATACTATCACATTGTTGCAAATTGGCAACTCCCGTTACAGAAATAAACCATTCTGTGATTCTGTGAAAAATCAAATTGTCCAGGGTGTTTATTGTCCTCTCTCTCAGATGCTTTCTGGGAAGCATCTTCCTATTCTGGAAGCTTAGGGGCACAATGGGAGACCGCACCCTGCAGTTCCAACACAGGGCACACACATAAACAATGACAATTTAAGGACAGCAATCACCATAACCACCATATCTGTGAGTTGTGAAAGGAAGCCAGAGCACTGAGACAGAACAATAGAAAGATGGACATTGGGAGATCATGCAAACTGCACACAGAAGGCACCCTTGGCTGGATTTAAATCTGCAAAAAAACCCTGGAGCTGAGAGACGTACTGTGCATACTGCCTCTGGTCTCATCATGGCTGTCAAAATCTGCTTTGTCACTGATTCTTCACGCAATGAAACTTGCATTAGCTGCCGCTGTACAGTTGAGGAAATGCTGAAAAGTGTTTAAATGCATTTGGAATATTTTTATTCTGTAGATCAGTTCTAACAGATTATGCAACTATAGATTCCTGAAAGATGCATGATCCCTGTCTCTTCCGAGATCTACTGGCACATCTTACCGTCTGGCATCCAGTTTCCAACTATAAATGAGGCAGTGTGGTGGCTCTATGGCTAAGGATTTGTGCCTGGGGCTGGGAGGTTGCCAGTTCAAATCCTGTAGCTGGCAGAGGAATCCTACTCTGATGGGCCCCTGAGCAAGGCCCTTAACCCCCAACTGCTCCAGGGGCACTGTATAAATGTCTGACCCTGTGCTCCACCCCCCAGCTTCTCTCCCTGTCTGTGTGTCTCATGAAGAGCAAGCTGGGGTATGTGAAAAGACATTGATGATGCAAGAAATTGTATATGGCCAATAAAGTGGTCTTATCTCATCTTATAAACACTTACTCCTCAATATGCATATAAGGTAATGATTCCTCCTCAAACATACTGAGCTGCAGACATTTCTCTTTCCTCACCTGCAATATATTTAGCTTGTAAGTATCCTCTGTTTTTGTAGTGTGTCTCTGTGTTGTCCTCCATACAATATTTCTTTATTGATCATGTTTTAAACTCAACCATGCTCATTTAAATACATATTTTCTATATATTTAAATACCAAGAGAAATATGTAGTTAAATCACTTGAATTTTGATCAAAATGTATGCAAACTAGTTGAGACCATATAAAGTTGTTAGGATGTCTGCTATTGGGTAAATATTCTGTGCATCTCCTCAAAACAATAGATGCTCACTGTACTTCAAAGTAGTCAACTTTTCCACCTTTTTCCAAAACCAATGTGGTTTTCTTTTTTATTCTCATAGGCAATTCTGTACAGTATATTGTTTTGTCTTTAAAGTTTTTTATTTATATAATCATTCACTTTTTTTTCTTAAAAGCTATTGTATGCTCCATCAGATCTTCTTTAGCTTTGCTTTTTGAGATTAATAAGACAATCATCTTAATCATCAGAGAATCATCTGATCTCCATGAATAAATTCAGTTAATTAATTGCTAATAACTGAGGAATAGCTAAAACTACCCTATCTTTTAGTGTGTTAGTGTGCTTGGGGAAGCCTACACACTGAAACTGAACTTTGCCAAAGCTCTAGCATTCCAAATGTCAGGAAAAGTTGTTCAGCCTTGTCCTGCAAGAACCTGCTGCAGGAATACAGAGGGACTATTTTTCCTGCACTTGTCTGTTGCTGTCAGCAGCTCTTCACCAACAGCCTCAGAGTACCCTTGTCCGACTGTAAAAGAAGCTGCTTGACCTGTTTTTGTAGGGTTGCTATCCTGTTTACTCTCTGAACCCAGGGCCTATATTTGTTCTTTTATTGGCTTTAACCTTTGCCTCCTGAAACTTTGGAGGCCTCTCCCTGCCCTCTCCATTGGTCCCCCATTATTGAGTACAACAGGCTTGAAGAGGTCAGTACACAAGACTGACAGCCTAACTCTAACCCTAACCCTGCCATTCTTCAGGACTACAGTACGGAACCAGTCAAACTCTAAAGATGTCTGAAGACTCTCTAATCCTGGATGTTCCTGTACATCTGAGAGAAAGGGTTTGTTCTATTTCATATGTCCTTGAATGAATTAAGGGGCAGCATGATGGCAAATGTTAAGTAACTTCTTACCAGCAAACAACAAGGATGCACGAACATGCAAATACAGATAGATAGATATACCATTTGTAATCCTGAGCAATACTGTAGGAAACTGCTCTATGTCATGAATCGCATTCAAGCATCCATGTGCTCCTGCATTCCCACAAGCTCTTCTCACCCCAAACGTTCACACACCAATCTTCTCAGTACTATTTAAACCCTCACTAGTCTTCCTTTCCTTGCTCACGATTGAGGTCTCCTCCCTGAGCTCCTTACTTGTACGTTCCCTACCCGCATTTACTAGTGTTAGATTCCTGGCAATTCGACTCTACGCTTCTCTCCGACTACGTTTCGCCTCCCGATTTGGTACGGGCGCTCCCTAGACGCCTTCCCGGATTTTGGACCCTGCTTTTCTACTTGACCACATCTTCGCATACTATCTCCACTCCAAACCTTCCTTTCTGAAGAACCTCACATAGGATCCCAATCCTCCGAAGTCCGGTCACTCTAGGCCTTGTATTTTGCTACAAGCTGTCGGCCAGCAGCCATATCACCCTGCAACTCACAACTAGCAACCTACTGAAGCTAAGCAGGTGTGAGCCTGGTCAGTACGTGGATGGGAGACGTTCTGGGAAGAACTAAGGTTGCTGCTGGAAGAGGTGTTAGTGGGGCCAGCAGGGGGTGCTCACCCTGTGGTCCATGTGGGTCCTAATGCCCCAGTATAGTGATGGGGACACTATACTGTAAACAGGTGCCGTCTTTCGGATGAGACATAAAACTGAGGCTGACTCTCATTAAAAATCCCAGGGTGTTTCTCGAAAAGAGTAGGGGTGTAACCCTGGTGTCCTGGCCAAATTTCCTATTGGCCCTTACCAATCATGGCCTCCTAATAATCCCCATTTATGAATTGGCTTCATTACTCTGCTCTCCCCCACTATGGCTGCCGTCGCATCATCCAGGTGGATGCTGCACATTGGTGGTGGTGGAGGGGAGTCCCCATTACCTGTAAAGTGCTTTGAGTGGGGTGTCCAGAAAAGTGCTATATAAGTTAAGCCATTATTATTAATTTGTTCTGTTAGTCATTACAAAAATAGAGACTAGTTGAGACTAGTAGAGAAAGCAGAATTGCACTATATTAAAAAAATGTTATTCATTTTTGTTATTGTTAGCGCTCATAAATACCATAGTAATTGTATTCTTTGATACTGATTAGGTTCCTGTGAAGACCCTGTAAGTGTCATGGGGGGAACTACAGTAAAATTAATTCACCTTCAGAGACCCAGTTTATTGCTTTAACTTGTTTGCATCAATTATATCATAGTATTTCAAAATTTCATTGTACCTTTGCAGCTCAGAACAGAAACATGAGAATTCTTTTCACAGAGTAAGATGGGCTGGATGGCTGCCTCTTATTCACAATCTTACTGATGTTCATTGAAATTTAAACTCTCCTCCATACTGGTAGAAACAGCATGGCACTGTCAAACTGAGTGAAAGTAAAAGTGAGCTGAACTCAGTGGAAAGGAGCCCATGAATCTTTCTCCCTCCTTCTGATTATAGAGAAACATGATGACCCAGATGATTGCCACTCTGCTGCTACTCCTCGTGTTTGTGATTGTAGTGCCTGTGTTGGGACGCTGTCCACCCCCTGCCAATGAGACCCCCCTATCAGAAGTTCTTAAGACAGCATTACCATAGAGAAGGCATGAGTGTCAAAGACTGCAACACTGAGATGAGTCAAAGGTGCATGAACAACCCCTGCAAAGAGAAGAACAGATTCATCATCGATGCCACAAAAAAACAAATTCAAGAAGTCTGTGACAAAGGGGGCACGCCTGTGGGTGGCGACCTGCACCAAAGCACCTCACCCTTCCAAGTTCTCACCTGTAAGCATCAAGGAGGGTCCACTCGGCCCCTTGTGAATACAGCGGGGTAAAAGCTCCAGATACATCGTCATCGGCTGTAATGCTGAGAAATTCCCTGTGCACTTTGATGAAAGTATAATTACAAAATAGGATTCCAGGTTTAGCATCTGCTTTATTCTGATCAGTAAAGCCATTAAAAATCCTTTTGCTTCTCCTCTTCAATTTAAAGAATGAAATGCCGTGAAAGGGCAGTGTGTTATCAGATGTTCCCCTCTAACATGCTTTTGTCAGAGAAACATAAATCCTTCTATCCACCTTATAGTTCAAAGTACTGAACATGCAGCTAATTCCAATGAGTTTGTAGAGTAGTAGGTGAACTTTCCCTCATAACAACTTTCAGCTATAAGAAACATCTTGTGAGTTACCGCTTCCATTATATAAATTAAAATCCAGCGGTATGACGAAGGAAGACTTTCTTATGTTATGTGAATGTGACAACTCTGGAATGGCAATAAAATATTTCAAAACTTGTTGAAGTTAAATTACTTTTTTCTTGGACAGTTGTGCAACATTTCCACAATAACACAGTACACATATAATGTAAACGTCTGGCTCGTGGTCCCTACCTGAAATGACGTCCCAATAAGTGACACAGCAAGATCTGAAACAGTGAAGGAGAAGAGCAGTGATTGATATGATTGAGAGTGATTCAGGTGCTATAATTGTGTAAATGAGATGCTGTATTTGATACATGAAATGAGATTTGAATTATTATTGTTTGAGTTACTTATTAATGTAGTACCTACTGTCTAGGAAGCAATACGATCACCTATTACTACATTGGAAATACACCATTCTGTGAAACATCAAAGAGTTACCAGGGAGTTGGGATGTATCCCAACAAGCAACAGGCACTGGGCAGGGTACACACTGGAGGAGACGCCAGTACCTCACAGGGCACACACGGACAAGACATGCACCAGGGCCAACTCCTACAGAAGCCAATTAACCCACCAGTATGTCTTTGAGCTGTGGGGGAAAGAAGGAAGGAGGAAACCCATGCGAACATGGGGAAAGCAGGCAAACT